TGGTCATTTTTAAATCTTATAATGTATAGATTATAATTTTAAATTTATCTAACTTCTTAACGCCAAATAACTTTTAAGGGAGTATTAGAATTATCGAAAAATTATTAATGAGGATTTATTTTTGTAGAGCGTTCAATTTTTTGATATCTGGACCGATATTTTTTGAAAATAAATAAAATTATTCTTTACGGTCTATATAATTATTCCTTTTTTTTACTATTTATTGTGTAACATTTTTATCATATTATTAAATATTGTATACGTTGAGTTATTAGATTGTATTCGTCAAATGTGTCATTAAAATATTAACAACACACATTGTGATTGAAGACCCCATGGCGCTTAAATTTCAGGGTCTACAAATTTTATTAAATAAGTAAATAGATTTGTTTTCATGAGTATTTGAACAATAACTAAAAAAGTTTAACGTCCTATTGTATAACACATTGTTAGAATTTTAATTGAAGTAATAACTGTCATATTTTTTCTGAACCTTTCACTAAAAATAACAATTTGAAAATAATTATTACCAACAATTTAATTATTATGATTGAATTTTATTGAATTTGAGCATTTTTAAATGAACAATACTTTAAATTATTGATAGTAAATATTTATTTTCCCACAAAAAATCCCCTAATAGTGACTCTGTATGTGGTTAATTTACCTTCCCCCGAAGATATTTACATTTATAATAACAACACACTTATGGAAGTAAAACCTTGTAAATTTGAATATGTATATCACTTAACTTAAAAAGTTTTATTGTTTAAAATAGTCTGGGCGTTTTGCTCGACCGGATACACTGCCGATACTCACTACCGAGGTAACCAACATAAATGTAACGCATGTAAATGTACTGAGCGTTCTTTATTGCTCAAAGAACACATGTGTTACTTCCCGGCAGGATTCTTATCTCTTGAGTTTTCAGGAACGCTTTAAACGCTCGTTAATTCCATTCTCGTTCATCCGACAGCCTTTTTAGATTTTTTTATTTATGAAAAAGTAACATTACAAGTAACCAAGTATGTATACCTCAGTTTCTTTAGGTATAATACCTAATAGGCGTCAGCTCATTTTTTAGTGCTCTTCTATAAAGACTAAACTGGTCAGCATATACATTATTATGATTATTAATTATTTATAATAATGCGTAAGCGTGTAATACTCCCACGAGCTTTATAAACATTAATTGGAGTACAATTAGCTAACTACTTTTATATTCTTAATATGCCATTAACGTTTTTATACTTGATTATGAGTCGAGCAATTACTCTTTCTGGAATAAGTACTTTAAAGTATGTGGTGCCTTTATATGTACATAATACATTAAAACGAAAAAAAATTAAAACTTTATTTTTTTTTTAAATAATTTTTTTACTACATTATTTATTTTTTTTTTAATATTTGTACAAAGTCTTTTTATATTATTTAAAGAAGAGTATCTTGAAGCATGATTATCAAGTATTATATACACTTATTTTTATTTATATATACGCTTAGTCTTTTAAGACTTAAGACGCAATGTTACGCTTTGATGATCACGTTACGAGCTCCGTTAACTTTTTTTTCCACTCTTATGAACGACGTGTTGTTTTGTCGCCCAACCATTTAAGATTACGCTTCAGGTAAGTATATAATACATTTATATAAATATATATATATAATATATTTTATTTTTACTCGACTCAATGTCATTTTTTATTATCAGCCTATATAACTTTTTTTATAAATCTATAAACTAGACTTAAGACACTTAATTTGTGTGACTTTTTCTCCCGGAGTCAATCTTGGAGTATTTCGCGGGTTATTTTTTATCGGGCGTCACCGAGTGATAAGCGATGACAACAAAAGCGACACAAAGAGTGGAGGGCAGTCGCACGCGTGATGCCGTAAACGCTTTTATATAGGCATGTCGTGACCGTGATTGACAGGAGAGTTGATTTGCTATTCACAGAACGATTGCTTTGAATAAAAGCTTCGTACTCGGAAATAAGTAAAGAATGTACATAACTAACTGAAAATATTGCTGCAGGGCGCAAGTCATTTCCGCCCGTGTTACTTTAAATGACAACCAACTTGTCCAGATGGCTTATTCTAATATTATTATCTCTTTCCATCGAAAATAGTCATTTTAATTAATTCTTATGTTTTATTTATTCTCTTTTAAACTATTAAACATTTTTATTATCACATCTATCTTTATCACTTTATTTTTCATTATACAATTTTATTTTAGATTTTTCACCCTCAATTTTTTTTGAATGTATATTCATAAGTTATTCATACCCAAATTTTTCTTTAAAATAATTTATCATTGTTATTTTTTACTGCTTCACTTTTTAATTAAAAAATTTTTTTTTGTCTAAAAATCCATCTCCAAAATTATTTACCAAAATTTTTAATCTTAAAAAAAAAATTTCTTGTATCATAATTCAATTTTTAAAAATATTTTCTTGAATTAAAAATATTTATTATGAAAATTTTCTTCCAAAATATGAACTATAATTTTTTCAATAATTAATAAAAATATTCCATTTTTTTTTGCTATATTTATTTTTCAAAAAAAAATTTTTAATTCAATATCTTTTTATTTAAATCTCTCTTTTTAAAAATTTAATATAATCATCAAATTAATTATTTTTGTGTAAGAAATAATTGAGAATAGCAATAAGTAACTTTATGTTTAACAACATTTAAAATATCGACGTTCTAATTAGCAAATTGTCTAACTCCATTTTAGAGAATCTAAGTATTCTATTTGTACGAAAAAAACAATTAGTTCAAAATTTATTATCACTTTAAAAATACAACATTTAAAATATCGACGTTCTAATTAGCAAATTGTCTAACTCCATTTTAGAGAATCTAAGTATTCTATTTGTACGAAAAAAACAATTAGTTCAAAATTTATTATCACTTTAAAAAATCATTAATATCTAATAAAGATATAATATTTAGATTTAAATCGTTCAAATAATTTATAATTGAATTATTGCTACAGAAAAATGTTCAAAAATCACTCTTTAAAAAATAAGGGTTAGATAAATTGCTAATTAGACCGTCGATATTTTTAAAATTAAAAAAAAATGATCAAATATGCACTCATTAAAGTCTTTATTACACTTTAAATTTTCTTCATATCAATTACATTTAAATTATAAGTAATTACAATAATTAACCGCTAAAAAAAGTCAAATAACACAAAAAAAAATTAACTTGAATCAAGAAAATAATTTTGAAGAATTTTATTATCTAAAATTTAAGACAATAAAACTCTTTTCTTGGTCCAAAAATTTTTCGCTTAATTCAAGTGAATTTTTTCAAGTGTAAGGCCTTAATTAAACCTCAGCCCGTTTAAATTTGTAAAACCTACCCGTGTAAAAAAAAATCGTCTTAAAATTGTCTTAAAATTGTCGTTCGTTTAAGATCTTAAACGTGACATAAACTAAGACTATTTTAAGACTCTTTTAAGACGCCAAAAGAAAAATTCCGAGAGCAGATTTTTGAAAATTTTGTTCTCGAATTTGTTGTGAAAATTAATTTTTAGATGATTTTACGACTTTCTAACCGCAATATTTTTGAGTAAGATGTTTTTAAATTGAATTTAAAATTGTTAAAAAATTATTATCTGACAATTTTAAGACTTTTTTAAGACGTTCCGTTTCAATGTTACAATTTTAAGACTTTTTTCCGGGGCTCTGTCGCTGTTAACCCATCTTAAAATAGTCTTTTTCCGGAGCTGCCACTGTGATGTTTATCTGAAAATAGCCTTAAAAATTTTTTTTAATTATTTTTTTTTTTCAGATTTTCTTTTAAGACTATTTTTAAGATTTTTTCAAGACTATATAAAAATTATTTTAAAACTTAAATCTTAAAATAGTCTTAGAAAAATCTTAAAATAATCCTAAAAAAATCAAAATAATTATTAAAAAATCTCGGAGTTTTTTTTTTTTTGGCATCTTAAAAGAATCTTAAAATAGTCTTAGTTTGTGTCACGTTTAAGAACTTAAACGAACGACAATTTTAAGACAATTTTAAGACGATTTTTTTTTTACACGGGTAAGCTCTCACTAATTATTACACTTTTCTCCTATCACATCTCTCGCGTTTTTCACCCTTAACCTTAACCCTCCAGCAAAGTATCCTCAGCAAGCATATCAGGCTGTCACTCTCAGTGGGTTTTTTCTTGGCCCCCCGCCAGTAATCCTCCTCGGCACGACCGACCATAATGAAAGATATTAACTACAATTTTATATCGAATTACTGCTGAAACACATTTCAAATTACTTGGGCGTATCTCGCGGATGATGGAACGCCGAGGTTTCCCAGTTTCTCATTGGCCGAAGCGTTACCGTCTTTCTCAAGGATTGGCTGAGATTACCCTCTGGTGGGGATCAGTCGGGGCGGTTCTATTCCGCGGTATGGCCGCCCCAGAACTCAGGGGCTACCGCCGTTTGCTACGAAAACGCTTCGTTCAGTCGAGTCAGCTCTATCGAAACCTTCACACGCTTCTTATTACTCTCAGTGTTGCTTGTATTGTTATTGCCAATAATTAAGCCTAAATACCAATTATAATAATAATTAACGTGAGTTTTTAAACGTGTAGTGATTTGATTTTTATTTTTGCACAAATCGGAGTACGAACTGAATTTTTTAAAATTCAATTTAATTATTTATATATTAAAAACTTTAATAATAATTATTATTGTAATCAAAGAAAAGTGATAAAAATAAAAATTATAAAAACTTTAAATTAATAGAAGAAAACTTTAAAAATAAATTAAATTAATAAGTGATTAAGTTACTGATTGTGATAAGTGATTAATTGTGATCTCTTAATGGAATAAAAAATATAAAAAAAAATGATTTTTAAAAATCACTGTCGCTAATTAAATTAATAGACTCTGGTACCCTTTTTTTGCAACAAATAATAATAATAATAATAATAATAATAAAAACGGAAATGGCTGACGGGTGTGCTTCTGTGCACGGTAATTATGTTAAGTGGGCAGTTAGCAATTAAGTAAGAAATCGAGCAAGCGCAGCTTCTTAATTGCTGCGCGGCCAAACGAATCATTCTTATTATTATTATTCTTATTAACGAGTCGTGATCTTAACATTATTTTTTTAATAATAATTGCCCCCAATCAATGATAATTTACCTATCTCAGTTGTAATACATGTAATAATTAATAAACATTTTATAATTGAAGCTTTGAGTTTTTTTTGATAAAAAAAAGTTGTTTAAAAAATTGGAAGACTCTCGGGAAAAATTTTGACCTCTGGTAGCGACGTGGTGGCGACAAAAAGGCAGAGAGCGAAAAGCCCTGAGCCGGGGTCGCGACTCGCGATGACAGTTCACCACCAGAGTCACCACGTAGCTGCGTTGAATGGGATCACCGTGCAAGCCGGGGCCGGAGGGTTGAATCTCACCCGGATGCCGGGTCTCGAGGCACACAGGTTAGAAAGTGACAGGCTGAGCTTGGACTCGAGGGCGGATGTTATCAATAATAATAATAGTCATAACCTTAGTTTGAGTCTGAGTGGAAATCACGGGGACCGGGCGGATAATGCCTCTACGACGATGCCGCACAGGTCGAGGTTCATGATCACCGATATCCTGGCCGACGCCTCCAGTCCCGCGTCCTTGCAATGCCAGGAGCCACCCTTGAGTCCGCCGGCTGCTCCAAGGGACCTCAGTGTTCGCCCGGGGAAGAATTCTGGGGGTCTCAAGAGGAAAAGGGACGAGGACAGTGATGCCAGTCACCACGATGCCACTTCTATGTCTTCCAATGGTAATTTTTTGGTTTATTTTTAATTTTTTTAGATAAAAAAAAAATTATTTTTTTACTTCAAAAATTTTTTAAAAAGACAAATATTATTTTTTTAAGAGACAACAATTATTTTGGAGCAAAAAATAATTTTTTAAAAAGACAAAAATTATTTTGGAGCAAAAAATAATTTTTTAAATAATTTTTAGTACTCTTTAATATTTTTCCCTCCAGTAATAATTTTTTTTTTATTTATATACACTGTTAAAAAATTTTTTAAAGTTACTATAAAAAAGTTTTTTACTAAATATGAAATTTTTTTTAATTTTTTAGTGCGTATTTTTTAATATTACGTCAAAATATCATATTAAAAAAAAAACTAACCTACACAATAATATGATATCGTAATTTTAAGTGATTCACGAAATTTTCATTCAAGACAGTGAAATTTAAAAAGATAGTTTTGTTAGCAAAAGATTTTTTTGCTTGATCAAACGAAGTTATTAAAAAAAAGTTAAGGTTTAAACGTTTAGGTAATATAATTTATTTAAGATTAGAGTTATTCGACTTCCTTTGTGCTTTTTGTTCTATCTATAATTACCGACCCTCATTTTGTTTCTGGTTTCATTCATATAAATCCCACAGTCTCTAGTATACACTAGATTCATGTATACCTGACAGCCTGACGCGGAAGAACTAATATAAACGCGTGTGTTTTAACATAAAAGATGTTACATGGTCATCTCTGCTAAATATACACAATCACGGTGGTTAATAGCCTTAACTCGGATCTTCCTTTTTATTTTGGGAGTAATATATGTTATTACACGGAAAACACCGAGTGAAATCATTGGAAATTCATTTATTTTTATTAGTTTGTATGTAATTTAGTTTTTACTTAGTGGTAATTTTATTTAGCAAAATTTATGTTTGAAAAAAATTGAGTGTAATATAATTACCGAATAATTATGAATTAATTTTATTTTTTTCAATAAATTTCACAATTTAAATTATTAATTGTAAATAAAATTTACAACGGAAAAAGATGTGTCGTTTTTAAAATTATAATAAAAATTTTTTATTTTATTTAAAAAATAAATCGGTGCAAAAAATTATTTTAGAAAAATAACAATAATTGGAAAATTGATTTTTTTTGTTAAACAATTTTTTTCACTTGCACGTATATCAGTAAAATTAAATAGCATGAAACGACATAAAATAGCTTCAACCGTATCCGATAGAACCCTTCTATAATTTTTTCCCATTATTATATTTTATTCTTACAATCACATTTAACATGAAAATAAAATCCAACCATTTACGCGGCAAAAGCGTCCCATGCGATTACAACTGATTACCCGTGCAATTAGTATAAAAAACCTCGGAGTAAAAACAAGCTTGTAGACTACTCGCTATATAACATATTATATGGATAATATATTTATTTGCATAATAAAAATCGCGTTCTTTATCTACCCAGCTAAGCTGTTTTGCGTTATCGCGAGGACGCGGTTGCGGTATAACAAAAACGTGGTTAGACATAAAATACTCTCCTCTAAACGGGACTAATACTAATACTATGTAGCATAGTACGGCAACAAAGAGAATTAATGAGCGTGATTACGATTAGTTTAAAGGCGCGTGCTCTGTAATTCTGTAAAAGTAAAAAGTCAACGCGTATTTATTTATGTTATAGTATAATAAAATTTAAAGAATGTAATATTGTGTTTATTTAATCCAAATAAAAATTAAAAAATAATAGCAGCAAAAAGTTTTTTAATTTTTAACAATCTCAAAAAATTTATTAATTATTTTTTTTATTTAATTAAAAACAAACATAAGAAAACTTTATTTTTTTTTTAAGGAATTATTTTTGTCAATTTTTTTTCATTTAAAAAAAATTTTTATTATAATTTAAAAATATTAAAGATTTATTATTAATATTTTTAAGTTTTTTCGAAAGCTTTTTTTTTAATAAAAAATATAAAGTTTTTAATTAAATAAATATTTAATAATTTTTATAAAATAATAATAATAGAAAAGAAATAATAATATAAATATGAAATAGAAAGTGTGGGCTTGGGTACAAATAAAGTATAATCCGCTTAAAGTTTGCCTTGCCCGTTGTAGTTGTAGTCATGTATTTATGTATCAGGCACCCGACTTTACTTCACGGTCTGTCGCTGTGTATTTCTCTGTATAATACGTGCATACTAACAACTCTCAAGCAGAGGTGTCGTAGCAATTGTCACGATCGGGACTACACGGTCCCATTTATAATCCCCAAACCGGAAATGATTGGCAAGCGTTTAGAGATCGCTCAAGAATACTGTTATGAATCTCGCTATGACTGTTTAACGCTTGTCAACGTCTTGACCTGCAGGATTAATTTTTTTTCACATATATAATTTAAGTATGTATAAATACTGAGTTTTTCGACAGAGACGTACGTCAACGAGGCGTACGTGCAAATCAACCAGAGAAGGGTGCTTTAAATCTGACAGTTGTACGGAAGTGTAAATTAAAAAATCACAGTTTGACTTGTACCGTCGCGGGATAAGTATGTGTGACGATCAAAATGGTGTAAAAAATAAATTAAGTGGAAAATTTTAGGGTTTAAATGTTTAGTTTTGTAATTATGAAAATTGCAATTGGTTGTATAAATTTTAAGTTGATATTATGGATGAATTTTTGCAGAAAAGATATTTGTTAAATAATTTTTTTGATTATTATTTTTCAAATTTAAAAATAAATCTTTAAAACTTAACCCTTCTAATATGGTGTAAATGATAATACAATTATTAAGCTTGGGATTGAATAGAGTTAAATCTGTCCAGAGACCAGGGGCAGGGAGCTGTTGCCCTCAACAACGTGGGGTTAAGAGGCTTTCGCGAATCTCGTTATCGGTGTTAAATACACATGCAAGTATGTACGTAGAGAATTTACACGACTCCCCGTCTCCCGGCCAGACTGCCCACACACTCAAGCACATGCAACATACATATGTACACAACCTACAACCCCGTCAGCATCACCGGTGACAGGGTTCTGTCTCGACAGATAATGATGACTTTGTCTGAGTAACATCGTGTTCGAGGATCATTAGCATTTTATTTTAATTTTGAATTTAAATTTCTGTTATTGTAATATCAAAATACTGAATATAAAATATAAGTACTTATCATTTTACTTTATTTTATTATTTTTATTTATTTTATTAAAAACAAACAAGAAAATTTTGTTGTTTTTTTTAAGGAATTACTTTTTATTCGAAAAAAATTTTTGAACAAGTAAATAGATTTTTTTGTAGCTTAAATATTTTAATCAGAAAATAAAGTTTAAATTTTTGGAAACAATTTTGTTAATTTAATCCAAAAAATTTTGCCCTTACAATTTAAATTCTATCTATATAAAATAAGACAGGGCAAAATTAATAAGCAATTTTTTTTTGTAAAAAATTTAATTTTCTATAAAAAAAGTCTCATGTAATTTTTTTTTTTATAAAAAAAAATAATTTCATTAATTGCAAAGGTCTTACTTTGAATTTGTGCCTTTTCAAGGTTTCATAATTAATAAATGACCTTGTATCTTGTAAACTATTGACATTTTTAAAGATATAAGCTCATCCCAATGGTACACTCCTCAAGACCTTTCATTTGAGTACCCACATCAATTTTTCATATATTTCATATATTTATATATATATATTATATATATGTATATATGAAAAATAAATCAAAAATGCATGTGGGTACTCAAATGAAAGCTCTTGATGAGTGTAACATCAAGATGAGCTTATATCTTTAAAAACGTCAATATTTAAAAAAGTACAGTGCAATTTAACAAAAGTCATTATTCAATAAAGGAAAATTTTAATTTTTATAGTTCACAAATAGTGACTGCAAAATTACTAGTATTTTATTAAAAGAATATAAATTTTCTTTATAATAAGTTCCTACACAATAAATCTAAATTAAAAGCCATATGCTAAATCTAAAAGTACAATTTAAAGTTCCACCCTGGGGAATATTTTTTCAAGTTTATAATTCGCTTAACCATGCAATAATTTCAGCGCAACTTTTATTTGCCTGAGGACTGAGAAAATTTAAATATTTAAATACAGGAGTTAGATTGCATTAGTTGATAATAAAAAAGGTATTTAAATAGGATTTAATAAAAATGCCTTTTATTTAAAAGTATAAAAGTCAATGCTCGGCAGTCCATAGTCCGGTAGCGGCCCTACACTTGACCATTGCATTAATATATATAAGGATAAAGTATTAGATCGAACTGGAAAATGCATACATGTTATTGGCACGCGAGCGATCCATATGTGTCTACAATAAAAAATAGCTAGTAAGCCAGTAGTATAGAGTTGTGTATGATTACATGTTTGAATAAATAAGTATCTGCATACATATAAATATAAATATAAATATATATGTGTACATATGTATACACAAATCGACGCGGTTACTAACGCGCACCCTGCTGTTGGACAAACTCACTGGACTCCCCGCGTAGTTGCGATCCTTCGTACATACGCATCCAATACAACATGTGGTTTTAGTTGTGAACGTTAACAGAACAGCCCAGAGCCCAGCCAACCACTTGGTGACTCGCTAACAGGGTTATTGCGTGACTAAAAGTATCCATGTATATGTGTAAAAGTCAAGACTTGTATGAGAGACTCAGTATGAGAGTAGTTTTGGTATTAGTACCCAGTTATATTAGTTATATTAGTGTGGTACCTCGGGCTAATGTAATGTAAGAGAACTAAGAGCCCCTTCACTCGAATCTCAACTCATGTACTCGGTGTGGTGCCGATTCCTGCAGACAAATCAAACATTAGCTTTCATCTTTTATTATTAAATGTGATACTTAACTTTAATGACACAGATACGCAGAATAGAAATCATTTATTTCAAATATGTAACCATTAGAAATTTTTTTCGGTTCAATTTATCAACATTTTTTTTAAGTAATACGATGAAATTTACTTTTTATTGATTTTTTCCACGCGAATAAAGTTTTATTTTATTTTTATAATTATTTTTACGATTTAAATTGACTGGTTAAGTGGTAATAGGGAAAGAAAGTAGTGCGATTTGTTTTTTTTAGAGACGCTTTAGATAGTTCCGCTACGGCCGCTAGGTGGCCAAGAGCGCAGAAGTTCTCACGTGTAGAGCGGTAGACTCAATAATCAAGACATTAATGAGGTTTTTCACAAATTTTTACTCACATAACATTATAAATCAAAAGTGTAAAATTTGTTTAGCTATAAAAATGAGAACGCTCTGTAATTCTTATTAACTAACAAATTACACTTGTACTCTTGAAAAATAAATAAAGAAAATTTTTAAATGTAAGTAGACTGAAAAATAAACTTCAGGTGGAATTCTAATAAGATGTGAAGGATATTTGAGTATTTTTTTTATTAATTTTTGAACTTATGGTCAACTGTAATTTTTTATTTGTAGACTTAACATCATTTTTCTTTTTATAAATTAGTTTTGATGACTTATATTCTTCTTAGCTAATCTTTATCCCTATTTATTATTACCAAAAATGTAATCTAAATTTTTCAAGTAAAAAATTGATGATTAAAATGTATAGAAAAATAGTATAATCTCTATTATTTTTCAAATGAATGATGTCAAAATTACTTTAGCTACTTAATATGTCAAGTAGTATAAAAAATATTCATTTACGACGATTTTTCTCAGCAATTCATTGTTTTAAAAACATAATAAAAGCCAAATTTTAATCCTCATTTTTCATCCCATCCCCAAACGTCAAATCTATAAAATAGCTGTACCAACACAAAACATTTATTCGCTAATCAAAACCTGACAATAGCCAATTCTCCCTCTCAGACGCAAATAAATAAAAATGTACAGCAGTCTCCGAGGTGTCGAAAGGTAACACACAATAACTGGGGTCAGATTCGAGTAGGTATTGACTAGGGGCCAAAGAGCAGCCGACGTTGTGTGCTATGTATGAAATAAAAAAATTCCACATAGTATCCCATCCAGGGGTTGCGGTAGAGCGTGTAGAACACACTACTCGAGAGGGTAAACTCTCATGAATGCCGATTCATTTTTCACGCTCTGCCTTTTCACGTTCGCCAATCTGACTTTACTCTCTATTTATATTTATATTATATATATTACCCACATACTTATACATACATACATACATACATTCATACGTACATTTATCCATGAGACTAGTTTTCAACTTACGCAACCATTTTCACATACATCACATTTAATTTGTGGTGATTTAATTGTTTGATAAACATCCGTTAATCATCATTATGAGTCGCATTGTTTTTTTTCTTCTTTTTCCACCACTATTATTTTATTATTTTATGAGTTACATGTCCAAGCAAAATACATATTATCCTACACATATATATGTATTCATTTATTTTCTCGTGAAAAAATCTTTTAATATAGCCATAAATGTCTGTATATGGCCATCTTACAAAAATTTATATGGTCTGATATATAAATTGACTATAAACAATGTTTTGTTTGGCCAAATTTTGAAATTTCAGCAAAAATGCCTAAACAAAACCCCTGTTAAAAAATTCTATGAAAATAAAATAAATCCCTTAGGCTCAAAATATTTCAGAGAATGCCCAAACACAACTCCTGTTAAAAGCAGAACTCAAAATTCCAATTTTAAGAGGTGCATCATGGAAGTTGAATTTTGGAACACTTTAATAAACATATCTGATTTGATATATCTTAATATGACGATATATTTATACATGTACTGATGATATGGTCATATATATTTTTTATAACACGTTTAGTATTGAAAATATCCGATAGGTGGCGCATGCTCGCTAAATCTTCTCAATAACAGAGAATTAATTTTCAGCTATTAAGTAATAAAATAAAAATAATTCTTCCGCTTCCTTAAAAAGCTTACTTAACATTGATTTTCAGTTTAATCGACGACGTTACCAATTATTATTTAATACGATATTTTAAATGACATACATAGCTCAATAAAAAAATTTTTTTACGGGTTGAAAATTGAAACTACCAGCAAGCAAGACTTATTTAAAAGAGTCAAGTAACTCAAGTTGCATGTGAACATATATTTGTATATTTATTTCTTACGTGAAAAACTCACTAATATAAGAAAAAGTTCCCCTTACTGGTATACTCTATCCGGCAAACGTCTTGGAAGTGTCTCAAAAAGAAAACTCACCAGCGGGACTTCTTTAAGTGTATCACATAGTAAATTTAGTTTTCCAACCTCCGTTTCAGTGCAAGAAGTTTATCTTGCTCTTCATCCCTTTCCCTCAATAAAACTCTTACAGCCTTTTACTCTTTATCTTCTTCTCGAACTTAAGCTATCCACAGTGCAATGTGTTACGTGTGTGTGTGGTGAATCTCCGCGGGTAGTCTCTCCTATTTTCTTTCTCCCGGAGGGTTTTTCTCCTATCCACCGAGAATTTTTCCTCCGGAGGTATGGCCGCCATTTCCCAACATGGTGGCCGAGTCAGATCGTTCAACCGAATCTGTCCGATCAAACGGGGGAGTAAGAGCCGCGCTTTCGCCTGGGTTAACTCAATCTCAATTCTCATGCTCAGCGCTGACTGACTTTTTATTCTTCATTTTATTTTATTTTTTATTAGCTCTATTTCTATTTTTCAGCACAATATATAGCTTTTCTCTATTCGACTCCCGACTATATCGGCCATCAACTATCCGCCGGTTCCGATCGATCAACCCGCTACAACACGATTGAGTCTTTGCGAACCATTCCCCGTGGAAAGAGATTTAATTCTCGAGATTTTTTTTTTTTAATGCAATAAGAGCTCTGAGTCTTCTTTCTTACATCATTTCATTCGTATAAAATATTTTTTTTGTCTAAAAAATTCCTCAAAAGATACGCTTAGGAATGTTAATTTTGAAATAAATGATTAAATTTTTAACAAGGAAATAAAAGTATACGAATAAGAATGTATATATCAAGTACACGATGGTGGAAATCCACACCCACGTCGTTAAAATTAATTCACGCGATTATTGCGTCTGCGTGGTCCAATTTAGCTACTCAGCCAATCGTGTCTCGGGTGGTATGCGCAAAAATAATAAAGTAAAACGAAATAATGAGCAAGAAAGTAATCAATTATTTTGTTTGGATTAACGTTAGTTTTATTTATTTTTAATTAATATTTTTTTTTTTTTGAACTTTAAGCTTATTTTTATTTAAAGTTTTTCTTGAGATATTTTTTTTTGTTTCTCGAAAATTGTATGAAATTTTCAGGCTTTTACTTCTCGATAAAGTTAATTTAACATTATTATAGAGTAAATTCGGGAAGCTATTAATAATTGCTCTTTTGTTTTGTTATTGATTTATATAGGGTTGAAATTGGAGGGAAACAAGGGAAATTTAGATAATAGAGCTTCAATTTCTGGAAGAAATTAAAATATGAAGGGCGAGTTTTTGGATTGGAATATTTTTTGGTTTTTAAGAAGAATTTTGGACGGATTTTTATACTTCATTTATTTCGAAAAATATAGAAAGTATAGAAAATAATATTTTTATTTTGTAAATAATATTTTTTTAAAATGTTATATTAGTTAAAGATTCTAATTTCAAAAATGTTAACAATTATTTTATAAATATTTTTATTGAATACAAAATAATTATCCAATTTGTTTCTCTTAAGATTTAGAAAAAAATTTTTTTTTACTAATTTTATAAATTTTTACAGATCTTTCTTCAAATTTTTTAAAAAATATTTTAAATAAAAACCAAAAAATTGAAATTTTTTTCTAATTACATTTTATTAAATTTCCAACAGCATATTTCTATATTTTATAGAAGGGGATGAATTTAAAAAATTCATGAGAATAATAATGAATTAATAAATAATCACCCAGTAAGTAGTACGATAAAGTTAACATAAAATTATAATACCAAAAAAATATGACATTATTATAAATAGAAAAGTCAATAAAGGTAATTATCGTAGAGGCAGGTAGTCACGAAATAGCCGCAGTTATTAGGTTTAATGATTACACAAAAAAATGTAACTCCCACTCATAAACACAACTATTTACGTCGTTACAATTTTGATAATCCATTAACAATAATTCTCCATCTAATGAATTAAATAAAAATATTTCAACTTACAAACTTTTACCAAAATAAATAATTTAATAATTTCAGGTGTTAAAGAGGAACACGATCAAAAAGAGTCTTCTTCAAGTTCCCAAAACTCACCGCCAAGTAAAAAGCAGCGCAAAGCGCGGACGGCGTTCACAGACAACCAGCTCCAAACACTCGAGAAGAGTTTTGAGCGGCAAAAGTACCTGAGCGTTCAGGATCGGATGGAGTTAGCGGCCAAGTTACAATTAACGGATACGCAGGTCAAAACGTGGTACCAAAATAGAAGGTATTTTTTTTTATAATAATAATCGTCTTTATACAAACAGATCTAGGAAAAAAAGGCCAAAAACAAAAACTCAGTTTTATATTTAATTAGGTACAATGTATATACTTTAAAGACTTTTGAAGCCGATGTTAAGTTTCAGCGAACGGCGGCTGCTGACGTATAATTAGAGAACAAAGAAATGGTAAATTATCGGTGTAGGTTAAGCTTCTGGGGTAAACTTTGCTCAAAAGAAGAAGAAATAAGAAACAAGAAGCTCTTTTTTACATTACCATCATACTCTTGATTATACAAAAGTTTACCTCGGGAATAATTACTCAGGGTTTATATCCCGACGAACAGAACAGAAGGTTTTGGTTTGTTGGGGTTTCCGTCTTTCGTCTCGGGTAAATTTGTGTCGGTTGATTATTGATTCCCGAACGGAAACCCGTGACTAATTAGAGAATGAAAATCGCGGCTTTCGATAAAAGGCTCTCGTTTAACAAGTTAAACGCATCATCTTAAACTATAACTAAACACTTTAATCGGTTATTCTGGTAAAAGTAACTGGGATTATTTTCAGTCAAGCTCGTTTATCCTTAAACTTGTTTTTCCATTATCCATTATGTAAGATATTATGTTTTTACTGGCGTCTTTAAAACAACATCCACCAAGTCATTCGGATTCATTCCGGAATTATTTAGGTAATAACAACTACAAGACAACCTGACTAATCGCTCGTCCCGAGTTTCTAGTCCAGCTATAGTGTACACTTTAATACTCTACTCATTTAATTATATTATACTAAATTCTGAGGTTGAAGGCTGAAGAAACTGAACCACGATTGAGGACCAGGACTAAGAATCGAGGGCCAGTATCACGGTATAAAACCAGGCGCCAGTGACTAAGCGTTTATTTTGAAACATTAATTAAACTATTATAATCTAGCAAATTTGTAATTAGTCATTTTTTAATTTAAAATGTTGCTTCTTAACTTTTTATTTTATAAAAAGAAAATATATCAGTGTCGGGGATATATCTTGTTATTAATTACAAATAAACCCCCGGAAATTTTTTTTAATTTCAACAATTTTATTTTGGATTTTTTATAAAATAATATTGAAATTTTTTAAATAATTTTTCATAACAAAAATTTATTTTTTTTACTAAAGATAAATTTGTATTTATTAATTAATGATTTTTTCAAGCGTAAAATTCATTTAAAAATGAGACAAATTTTTTTCAAGGAAAAATTTGACATATAATTTAAATTCGAACAAAAATAATTTTGATTAAACTATTAACATTCACACAATATTCCACGAAGGTTTGTAGGCGGGCAATCGTTACGGGTCGTTAAATAACCCTCGCGAGAAATCGTTCCGACTTATCAGCTAATCACGGACGCGAGTATATGGACGTATGGTCAAAATGGGATGGCGTGACGTTTAATGCACGAGTTGAGTTTTAATGTTTTGTTGTATATTATGTATTATGTCGTCGTGATTGTTTCCTCTACTCTCAATTGTACATACAAACACGGTTGGCTGCTGAGTATGCGTCTGAATTAAAGCTCCTCCTTCAATTCCTCTTCACTTCACATCAACTCTCCATTGTGCTTTGGAATTATTTCATACATCACATTAGATATCTTTTACTTCCATTTTAAAATTATACTAGTATATTTATAAACATTATACAGTAATTTTCGTCGTTGTGTAAAGTGTAAAAATTTTAGAGTCAAATATTTAACACTAGTGTGTTGATTTAATACAACCATTTGTGTTGTATCGATCCATTTTTCTGTTGAATTTGACAAAAATTTTTTACTGTGTACATATTTAAAGTTTGAACTTCAAAATCTTTGGCTTTGAGCGCCAAATTTCGTCAGCTATACAGCGTTTCTTCACTTTTTTCACGATAGATCATCAAATTGACGATCATATCATTATTATTGTTCAACTTCAGCTATATAAAGATCTTCACGTTGACAAAAAAATGGTATTTATTTAAAAAAAAACTGTAAATATTTACGAAAGCTTTTCACTGCATTTTTGAGTTGAACAAATTAATCTTTAAGTTAACGTTGCATTAAAGAAAAAAAAAGTAAATTTTTAATTTGTCATTTTCATCTAATATTATTATCACATCCTCTGAATCTGTACTTTTGGTTATAATAAGTATTAAATACGTTATTTCTTTTAATTACCTAAATTTTTATTGAAATCTGAACGGTAATTGTTGTAAAATAAAATAAAACCTGTGATTTCTCACAAGAATCAATGATAGCCAAACATTTTTTGTATTAATACCCTTTTTCCGGTTCTTTGAAGCTTTTTAAAAATTTAACTGGTCTTTTATATTATTACAGTGTACTAGTATGTCAAATTAAATTAAATTCTGACCGGTAGTTCCAAACGAATTGTTTTTCTGACGAAACGTCACTCAAGGTTCCATTGGCTAGTAATTTTAACAATATTTTTCTCTCCGTGTACTAATCTTAAAACACAAACTAAAAAAAATCTAAGGAATAGATAGTTTGACGAAAAAAGGCAAAACCAAACCGTCAGCCGGTAAAAAACCAGCTACCGCATAATACTCTAGAATTATAAGAGTCCGTCCCGAGGGCAGGATCCTCTTACACGCATCGACTACTGCTGCTAGACGAGAACGTTGACGGATGACGTATACAGCCTTATACCTTATGCCTCATACTCTTGAATGTTGGAGCCAGTAAACTCGACAGTACAGAACCTTAAGGAAAATTATTACACGTTATTCACGCTGGTTTATCCTCTTTCGAATCCTTTATTTTTTACCATTATCCTTTTAGATTTAATATTTCTTGTTCTCCAATTTATTACCTCCCATCCGATGATTAAAGAGTCAGCGGCTCCCGAGAAAGACGATGACAGATCGTTTCAGGACTGTAAATTAATAATACATATACCGTAAACCAGACAATAAATATGAATTATTATTAACAGCAGAATAAAAAATTAAAGGAGAAAAAACGATTACCTCAGCATCAATCGGAGAAACTTTTTCCCTGCAAATGTGAATTGTACTTACATTTCGATTTTCATTTCCTACGGTCTTTACTACTATACTACTTGCTCTTTGCATCAGAGTGACACTACAGTCCAATAGCCATCCACCGTGAGAATTTTCTACCTTGTGTGCTATAAGTCTTGCTCTCGAGGATGATCCAGGAAGACTTTGGCTTCACTTCCCACGCTACTGTACACCAATCCTTATAACGTTATAACGGCCACACACGATCATTATCGTAATGCGTTCTCGTTTTACTAAAGTCCATGCCACATTCTTAATAATAATCTACGCAAATACACATAATTTTGTTTATTCATACATTATAAGTACTAACAAGTCATAAGGATATTTGTCATTTTCTCTAAAATATTAACAAGAAATTTTTACTTCTAAAATTAACAAATATAAAATTATACATTTTACAAAATTGTGCATAGACATATTTGGCTTGATAAACTGTGATAAGCTGATATATAATTTTTCTACTTGAATTAGTGTTGAAAACCTCCGACAGAGAGCGCATGGTCGCTAAATCTTCTCTTTATAAGAGAGTTGAATTTCTAAAGTCTTAACACAAACATTACATAGGGTTTTTTTTATCTTTTTTTTTTCCCTAAATAAAACATTCCACCTTCTAGTCAAACTACTTAATTATATTATAATATATATAAATATACTATCCAGTGGTTTATGTTGCACAAATGGGAACCAAAATTTATTATAAATATTGCATACAATGTACAATAAAAGTGTAGCTTGTAAATTATACATATCGACGTTTTAATTAGAAAATTGTCTTCCATTTTAGAAAAAATTCTTTTTTTTTCTATTTGTACGAAAAAACAATTAGTTCAAAATTTATTATCACTTTAAAAAACAATTTAATATCTAATAGAGGTTTAATATTTTGATTTGGTTCATTTAAATAATTTATAATTAGACTATTGCTATATCAAAATGTTAAAAATTCATCCTCCAAAAAATAATTAGACCGTCGATATCAAGTAAAGATTTTTAAACTCAACTAAAGTCTTAACTTTTACAATAAAAATTATTATTTTGACTCCTGCGGAACTAATTTGAAATTGTTTTTCAGTTTAATAAATTACTAATCTAATTTTTATTTAATAAAGGTAATTTTTATTCTAGAAAAAAAATTAAATATTTCATAAATTATTTTTTTATTCTTATAAATAGCTGGATCAAAAAAAATTTTCACGGGTTACAATTACATTAAAATTAAAAAAATTATAAAACTTTAAATAATGATGATTATTCTGTATAAGTTTAAATTGTCTTTATAAATATTTTCTTTAGCCGAAAAAAATTTCTTTTTCTTAAAAACTAGCATTTTTGTTAATACTCTACCGAAAATTTTCCTAAATAATTATTAATATCGAAATTTATGTAATTTTAACTACATTACAAATATCTCTTAACTCGACCTCATTACTCACGTTCACCTTATATATATCCATAACATATAACCGCGAGTCAATAATATAATACCGTTTTGAAATATTGCTGTCTTGCATTATTTATGATAGAGTATCTTTTGGTCAATTTGTGGACACGCAGCTAACGCGACGATTAATAGATAACTCGATACCGTTTATTTATTTATTATGTATTTATTTATTATCACAATAGTCACGAGCTAAAGGCATTTATTTATTGTAATTTTCAAATTATGGTATCTATCCAAGGATATAATATACTACAGTTAATAGTTTGAGGTTAGCGTCACTGTCAGCGTCCCCTACTTATGTTATTGTCATCAAGCATATGCGCCCAACGATAGAAGCTTAATAACAGGCATTTTAGGCTAGATAATTACTATAAAATGTGTCCCCTTATTATCTAGTTTTTTTTTTTTTAATTTAAACTTTTTCCTCAAAATACATCGGGCTGCTATTATAAAACTACACTGTTACTAGTATTATTATTATTTTTTATTATTACAGTTGTTATTGTGTGCTTATAGGCATCAATGTGACGTACGGTAGACCGTAGACCGCAAACTTGAAACCAGAAACTGGTGGTGCCATTATAAATACATTAAATCCAAGTGTATGATATTTATGTTATATTTACTACTATTATTTAAATACTTCGTTTACTCAATAAACGACAAATTAATAACGTATTCCTGTAAATATTACATTACACATTACGTTGTTTTGTTGCGCAATATGCTCATATTTTCATTTTAATTATAATTATACGTAAAAACTTGTTTGTGTTGTAATTAAAATAGCTTTTTTGAAGGATTTCATTTTTTGTCGGTTGTTATTAAATTTGTAATTTGTTTATTTAACCGACCAGGAAGTTTGTTTTAGTGACGGATTTTAAAGAAAAAATTTAATTTATTCTTCTGTAATTATAGGTTCCGTATCAATTTTATTTATTTATTAATTTTTTAGCTTTTTTATTGAGTTTCCGATTTCAAAATTTAAAAGTTATAAAATTTCTCTTGTTTTTGACAAAATACGACCCAAATTTTTAAGTAACATTAATTTTTGCCCTGCAAATAAAAGTTTAAGTAAAATATTGAATTTATGCACATGTCCAAATATTCAAAAATATTGTCTTTTATAATTTAAGAGAACTTAACTTGAGTAAAATTTTTAGCGCAATTTGATCTATTAATTATTTATTTATTTATTTGCCTTTACATAAGCCCAACAGCCCAAAGGGCCAATAACAGGGCTACTTAATTTTACAATAATGTAAATTTTGACAGAGTGAAAATTTGAATAATAATGTGACTATTATATAAACTAAAATTTCTATACTTAATCAATTATTATAATTAACAGAGTAGTTTAAATTACTAAGGAGAAAGAAAAAAAAATGAATCAAAACTACGTATGCAGAATAACATTTATTCTAATTATAGATTTATCTAAATAAATAAAAAAATAATCAAACTTAAGTGATATAAACTAGGAATCTTTAAAAATCACTTTTCTAATTATTGATTAGAATTTTTATGTTATTACTTCTCAAAAATACAAATTTTTGGGGTACAAAGTTACATCAGAATACCCTCGAAATATTCTTTAATTAGATCCTTGCTTAAAAAATTTTTAGTCGCCAAATAAAAATTCAACTACTTAAAGAAGAACTGGTCCTTATTCTTTCTAACACCAATTACAATAGTAATTCATTGTTCAGCAATAAAAATAAACCGTTTGTACGAGACATTTATATGAAATATATCTCTTGTGATAAATCAATACCGCTTGAGTGCACTGAGGGTACGCGGCCAATTAAGGGTGTTTTAGAGTACCAAAAATAATAATACAACTATCTAAACTTAACCTCCTTCAGAAGTAAAGTACAAGATACGAAACACGAGGGGAGCAATATAATAGCAAACCGAGTATTAAAAAACATTACTCATCACATAATCGCGAGCATTGCTCTATTATACTTGGGGATTTTTTCCAACGTCAAACCGCACACGGACATGAGAAATGATCAGCCTGTTTTAAATTCATAAACGACTTTAATATCACAATGCTCCAATGAATAAGTGCCTCGATGCCGTATACCGTGATCGTAGATCATAGTAAAGGGTGTGTATGTTAAATGTGGCCTATATTTTTTATTTAATGCCATACCCTTGCGAATTTTCCAAACCATCGAGTCATCATAGTTACATATTATGAAGATCAAGATTCTCGCACCTGACCTGTATCAATTTTTTAGGTATCTAACGGATATTTATTTTATTATCCTCGACTTTAATTAACCTTAAACAAAAAATCTCTTCAATTACAAATAATTTCGTTTTTTGGAAATTTTTGGAACAAGTTGATAATATCTTAAGCCAATATTACTATTTTAATCCATAATGAAAAAATTCTTAGATGAAGAATAAGCACTGAAGAAAAAATTAAATAAATTCCAAGCGGCACAAAAATTTTTTTGGTAATATTTTGTTGAATTTAAGTTGACAATTATTAATTTCTGACTTCTTGTTAAATAAAATTTACCAAAAAATTAACAATATTTTATGTGAAACTTGGGATAGGACAATATCTTTGCACTGGTAACCTTTAAAGAGCAAGTGCTCTTTAAAGGGAGTTAACTGTAATAATTTTCTTACTAATTAATAAATCTACCAATTTTGTTAATGTTGTGATGATTTATATGACTAAGACAACTGTGCAATGTAGGATAGTGATTGTTAGAATTCGTATTATGGTAAATATTGTAATTATAGCAATTGTTATGTTATGTTGTTGGTTATTAACATGTGTAATTTTCAGATGCCTGAGGAAGGTCTAATAAATGACCGAAACTTCGCAGAAATAATAATGTAATTTATTATTATGATCTTATCTTGTCCACATTTCTGATATACAAATAATTATTAATTTTCTTAATTTAAAAATGATTTTCTTCAATCAAAGTATTTTTTATATTAATGCGGGTAGGGTATCTTATTGAAAAAAAAAAAAAAAATTCTTCCAAAAAATTTCTGCTTATCCTAGAATAAGCTTAATAAATTCTAATTAAATATTTCAAAAAAAAAAAAATAAAATTTAGAAGACTAAGAACTCTGAATCCAGTAGTTTTTTAGCACATTATTATTACTGGGTATTTATTTATTTTGCAATGAAGATCGTAAGCTGATAGGTCGATCGGTAGCTTAGGGTTGTCTCCCTTTGGTTTCATGCTATTAGCACGGCGTTGGAGAGTACGGTTGATAGTTGATAGTGGATAGTGGAAAAGCGCTGGGCGTCAGTGTGCGTGGCATGATACGTGATGATTAGCCACTGAACTCCATGGGCTATTTGTTAGTATAATAAGGGCCGCAGTGTGGCAAACGTAACCACTTGCTAGCACGCCATTCCGTTTTAGCGTAATTTTCTCAGATGATAATTTACATACACGGGTCGTGGGTCAACGCGGGACGTAAGGGACGAGTTAAACGTTACTCTACATATATCTACATTTATATATGTATTTATAGAGATGAGGGAGTGGAAATTGTGATTACTCGATGCAATTCATAGGATTGCTTTCAAGAGTACTCCACCCACTCGGCTATCATCCACCAAACACCCTCAATACTCGGTAAAAGTCACCCCACACACGATTCGTACATAAGCTTCCGTTGATTTTACACGTTAGGTCTAAACCAGTCCCGCAATCTCCATGCTCAGTACAAACATCGTAATAATACGTCTAACGAGCGTTAATTCTTTGCTTATTCTTGAATTTATTTTATCGCTTTCCGGAATTATAAAATAACACTCAATTTTTATTGAATTTCAGATATTATGCTTCGTTATAAACTAATAAATATTATAATGATCGGTTTTTATTTTCGTTAGTCATAGATTACTTTGTATGAGCTTCCGAACATAACCTCTATTTTTATGATGATTAACTAACCTGTTAGGTTAGTTTTTACTCGAACCGTAATTTATGATTAGATTAAAAAGACTGTTAATTGTTACTTTGTTAGCAAGTAGATAAAAAATGGTGTTATCAATTAGAAATGTTTTTTGTAATTACGGTTTAATAAAATCTTTAAATGGTAATTCATTATGGCGGATTCTCCATTTTTTATTATCTATTTTTATTATACATTTAAATTCATTAATAGCTATTCAATCATTTTATAACAAAATATTGTTTGAAAATTCAATTTTTTTTTTTTCTTAATTTAAGAATACATTTAACTGTAAGGGCTGGTTTTTTAATTCAGAATATATATTTTTATATTAGATAAAATTTTCCTCGGATTGAAAACTGGCTCTAAAGTATAGTTATCAAATCTTAACACTGATTAATACTTAGTAAATTTTGCTCCAGCTATTTAGTATGATTTTTAATAATGATAACAATAATAATTCGGCATGAATTACAGTTTTGATCCATGATCTATAATAAATAAATTTTATATTAATTTGATAATAAAAATTCAAGGATATATTTTACCTTAAAAACTCAGGCATAGATAGCAAAATTTTTTAAATTTTTAAACAGAAAAAAAATTGACAATTTTTAACAATAATTTCTGTAAAATACTTAAATAAAAAATTTTTTAATTTTTTCTTGTGAATCAATTTGGCTGCCCAATTTTAAAACACAGTAATTGCATAATTTTTTTTTTAGTATTGCTGCATTTTTTATAACTTTTAGTCCTTAATTTCAAGTACATTTTCTTAAAAATATTTATATTTAAGTATTTTGTATTTATAAATCAAATTTTTCATCAATTTGGCGGGCAAACTTTTTTTTAATAAGAAAAATTGAAAAAAATTTGTAAATGGTAGTTACTGTGTTTTGAAATTGGGCAGCCAAATTGTCAAAAGTTTATTGGTCGCATTACCAAATTTCTAGTTAACAAAATTATTAACATTATAATTAAAATTTCTCATAAAACTTTGTTCAAAAAATAAACAAAAATCCCACAAATAAAATAAAACTGCTTTAATAAGGTTTTTTTGTTTTTAATTTAACCTTAAAATAAATTCTAAAAAGACATTACTTTTCTGTTTCAGAACAAAATGGAAAAGACAAACGATAGTTAGCTTCGAAATCCTTGCCGAGGCGAGTAATTACGTTTCCTTCGGAAATGTGTACGCCGGTCGGGCTGGTATGCCGACGCAGCCTTCCTACTGGTACCCTGGAGCACCAGTAGGAGTACCTCCACCAAATGAGCTCTTCTACAGACAAGCATCAGCCGCAGCCGCAGTAACGCTGCAGAAACCGATGCCTCACCGATTTTACCCGCCGATGCAAATGCTTGCCGGTCCTAGTGCAAATGTTCCCCTGGGAAACCTCGCGGCCAGCTCGAGTCTCTCCAGCCTTAGCAGCTACTACAACCGCGAAAGCCCGGAGATAATGCCGGACCGAGAACGGGAACGGGAACGGGAACATCTCGAACGAGTAGCGCTCAGGGCGAGGAGCAAAAGCCTGGAAAGGAGTCCTCCGCCTCGGGATGACAGTCCGCAAAGTAATCGCAATGACAGCGACGATGAAAGCATCAATGACATCTAGGACTCGGCTGATGGGTTCCATGTTGACCCCGACAGTCCCTGGAATAGCCAATTCAGTGATTGAAATTGAATTGAAGATCATTTTTGGTTGATTATTCAATTTATTTGTTTTTAATAAATTTGTTGTACAGACAAAAGTTGTTTTTAATGAATCAAAGTCGAGTAGAGTGCCGGTGCCGGTTTTAATGACAACCGGACGGAGGAAACGACAAATAGTAACGTGATACGGGGCCAGGGCTTGACATTTTTAGACATTCGAGATTTGCGAGAAAATATAATGTTATATAAATATATAAGACAGGATGTGACGTGCGGTTAACCGATATTATATTTATATATAAGGCCTAAGAACAGAAGAATAATAAACTGATGCTGATTAATCGATCCAATGTTTGTGGTGATTTTTAATTTAAATTTTAAATGTGTGTTAGGATTTATTTCTGGATTTAACTTGAAGGGATTTTTGTAATTATTATTTTTACTATCATTGTTAATACACTGTAAAAAGTCGGAGGTGGAGAAATAAACATTGCGCATCGAGTAAATTTGGTTTTTTTTTTTAGCGAATAAAAATTTTAATAAAAAAACATCCGATTATAGAGTTTTTAGATTAAAATAAATTTTTATTCCGCTGAAACAAGTTTTAGGCGTCAAATTACTTACATGTACTTCGAACAATTTATTTCAAGTTCAAGTTTGTAAATATTAATCATATTTTTCCAAAAATTTGATTTTTTGAACATTGAATTAAATTTTCATAAAGATTTTTGGAGAAATTAATTATTGCAAAGATAATTTATCAAAAAATGATAATTAACAAAAATTGAAAAAAATGTTTATGCAATTTGTGATATCTTCAAAGACGTATTTTGTTTCTTTTGAAGAAAAAACTATTTTTTTTTATCCAATAAAAATTTACTTCGCTGTTTTTTAACTTTCCGCTAAGAAAATCGAAGATTTTAAAAAATCGGGAAGTTATTGTTTTTTTTATTAATATAAATAAAAATTTTTTCGCAGTGAATTTTATTTCTAAGGGGTTTAATCTAATAACAAATCATTTACTCCGCATATTTTTTACAGTGTATTATACTATAATGTGCAATTTACTTTGCCAAACTTGAAGGTTATCAGAATAACTCACGAATCTTAACCACAGATTCTCATTCAGGAAGATTTTCAAGCGACCTGAGGTAATAATTTATTGTACGTAGAGATTAAATAAAAATTAATAAACTTTGTATTGTACTTAAAGTTAATTTTTATATTTTAAATAAAATAGTGAAGTAATATTTAATGCATTGAACAAATATTGTACATATATAATTAATAGATATACTCTGTGAGTTTTGTCAAAATGTTTTAATGAAAACAAGCCCTATCGGGCGGATTTTAAGGTTCTGACTAAAGAAGAAAAGTGTACATAAACATTTATAAACGTAATTAAAATTAAGTGCGAATGGTGATCTGATTAATTGAAAAATTTTAATACCGATAGATTCTGATAAGTTTTAAACAAATAAATATAAATATATTTAAAGATATTTTTCAGATTAAACATACTGCGCATAGCGCTGTTTCGGCACTTACTTAAATTTCGCAGTACAATATTGCGTTATTTTTAAATTTTAATTAAGTAAAATAACAACAAACAAAAAATTACCAGTATTATGAGTGTATAAAAGTAGACTAAGATGGGTAAAGATGAGTGTGTTTATAAATTGCTCGATACTTGCAGTTCAGACACATACAATGGGTCTGAAAAAAATAATTGTGAGTTCGTCGGGCAATTAATGTTAAATCTTGCATCGAAAATAAAATAGCGAACTTATGCTTTGTATAATAATGTCTGTATAGCAAAAAAATTATTATATGAAAAAATATATTATACTAAATTTATTCTCATTATTATTTATTTCATTTTTTTTTTCAAAACCTGGATAATTTATTTTATTATGATAATTAGCTTCTTGGAGGGTTAAGTTATTGCAGTTCGTCCAGTAGTTCTCATTCTTTCCCTCTTGTAATTAAGGTAATAACCCATATTTGAAATAAAAAAAAAAAAACTGAATTAATTTCAATGTTAATAATTATTTAAGGACAATTTTTAGAAAATATTAACAAAAAATCATCATTTTTACTATTAGATTTTTTTTTTCAAAATAAGGAACCATTTTTAGCATAATATTGAAATTTTTTCCATATTAACATAAATTAATTTTTTTTTATTAAAAAATTTAAGACTAAAAAAAAGAATACTTATTTTTACAATATTGTCTTAAAAATTTCTTCTTTAATCACAAAGAAATTTTTTTTTATGTTAATAAAAAAAAAATCCAAAGTTAGCATGGAAAAAAAATTTAATTTTAACATTGGAAAAATATTTTATTACTAGAAAAATTTCATCAATGCTAACATTGAAATTTTTTCTATGTTTAGTAGAAAAAATTCCTGTGTACATGTAGAGCAATTTTCTTATAGCATAATTTGCAAAATTTCTTCAACATAAAGCCTTTTTTTACGTGAAAAATACCCATATAAATGCGTAGTTAAAATTTCTTTGCAAAATTAAAAAAAAAATTTTTTTCTGTACGGTAAAATGAGACTTACACTGAAAAAAAAATTAAATTGAATCAAAAGGAAAATTCTTAAACCAAGAAAACAATTTTAAAGAGTGTCGTCTTGAATCAAGACGAAAAATTTTTGAATTAGATAAAATTTATTCAAACCAAAAAAAATTTTTCTACTCAAATCAAGAAGAAGAAATTCTTGATTCAAGTAAATTTTTTTTTTCTGTGTAATAATTATAATTTTTCTAAAAAGATTAATATTATTATTATTATTATTATTATTATTTACTGTAAAAACAATCATTTATTCTTTATATAAAAAAATGCACTTGAATAATAATTGATAAAAAAAACTTGCTGACTAAATTAAGCATAAATAATTATTAATGTTAATTACTTCAACCCCTTACGACCCGCGAATACCTTAGTTAAAATTAATTTAATGGCCATTAGTGGTCAGAACAAAATTGTGCTCGGGGCTAACGATTTTCTATCCAGTAAACTCAGCGAAGCAAGACACTTAAGAGTTCTATTCACCCACCGTGTCGAAGAAATTCTCTTTTAGGGGCAACACCCAGTCCTCGAACTTGAATTGCCCACGCAACCTAAAAATAATAACTAAATAACTGGATGTCAATCTTGATCCAAAAGGTTGTTTCCGGCATAGCAGTCTTACATAATTCACATAAAATGTGTATAGATCCTCACATAAGTGTGTATTTATAAATAAAATATAATAGTGCAGCGATGGGAACGTTGTTCCGTTGATATAGAAACTAAAGACGGGCAAGTTCCATGCACACGGGATGTGGTTAACCCTTGCACGGTTAGATCGCACTTTTGCAAGGCTTCTGCATCCTCTCGACAGCGAACTTGCAAAGTCTAAAGTACGTTGAAACAAAAATCCCAGGCTTCGGCCTTTTATTTTATAAACACTCACACATATAACATCAATGGCAACTCAACCTCGATGTGTATCTGTATGAACAAACCAAGACAATTACGACATTATACTCATCACCATCACGAAACTGATGAGGGTACAGGTAAAAAATGTTGAGACAAATGAGAAGAAACATCCACACACACATCGGCTTATATATATTTATAAAAGCACCTGCTCAATACATACGCTGCGTTATCTCTAGATCGACAAGTGGCGAGAAGTAGCTGCTAGACTCCACGGGCTAAACGTGATTTTATCTTTACTCCAAGACCAGCGGACCACTTATATCGTTAATTGCTCCAACTTCCGGTTCACCATTTCAGCGCACGTACTCTTATCCACTGGCGTGCGCCATTTACATCATCTATCTCTATAACCGAGGTATTACTTTTATTACTCTTATTCTCTTCAACATTAATTTATTTAATATAATGTGTATTAACTTAGCATACAATCAGCTCAACCTCCATGGCTTTATTCATTAAATTACGAGCGTTCTTATAGATGTTATTCAGCTGTAACAATCAACGTGCTGGAATTCCCAGAGAATGTTAGTGGACGGAGAGACGATTAATTTATTCATTTTCAGGCTATTATGTCCAATATTCGATGTCATCTGCTCCAGTTTTCAGCGATGATCATTATTCTGTCTAACGCCTAGTTGGTTAACCAATTGCTGATTTGATAAATGGGTTTAGCTTTGTATAAGTGGAAATGTTAAGAGTTAAAGACGAATTTTGGGTGGTTTCATACTAGTTGATATTTAAATTTTTTATGAAGATTATATCTTTGATACACTGCCAAGATGGTGAATAGAGGTGCGTAAAATCAATACATGGTTTATATGGAGTTAAAAAAAATTTTTTTTAACGGAGATACAATTTTTTGATATATATTTATGGTGTTATAAAATTATTAATTTAAAGAATAAAAATGTTGGACAAAAAAAGAATTTTTGAAAAATTTTAGTGTCTTAAATTGGGAATAATAATTTTTTAAGAAGAAAATTGATAAATTTTTATTTGGTTCAATAACTTTTCTTCTTGATTTATCTTAAATTTTCTAACAATGTTGATAGATTAAAAAAAATGTAAATATAGTTGAATTTTTTACTCGTAAATAAAATCGAATAAAAAAAAATTAAACAAGAATTTCTCCATCTGCAAATAGAGATAATTTTAAAGAAAAAATCAAAAAATAGAAATCTCTTTTTTTTTTTTTTTTTCTTAATTTGTTTAAAGTCGCATAAACTACTAAGGTCATGAGCGACTACGGTAAGGGGTAAATTTTTGAGATTGGTACTCGTTTTTTATTTCTTGGGCTGAGCAGAATAATACACTTAAATATTGAAAATATTAATTGGTGTACGCCGGACTCAAACCCGGTCCAATGCTTTGGTAAGCAAGGGCCGGATCCGATAGGCTACTGCGCGCCTTGAGAAATCTCTTAATTTGAAAATTTACACTAAAAAAAAATAATTTAATTCCA